TTACAGTGCATGTTCTACCCTGTTTAAGTTTCAAGATGTTGATTATGATGCATATCAAGTCCATTGTTCGTGTAACAGACTTATAGACTTATTTTATATATTGAAAAATTGACTGTAATCCATACTCTAATTTCAGTTTTGCATATAGAGTACCCATCATCCAAAATAAATCTTATTTAGTATTGTACTATTTTTGTTGATTATCATTATCAAACGTTATATATCGTTCCATTAGATTACTAATGAATTAAAACTTTCTATACATGTCTCGTGTCAGAAAGTTGTACTGTATCTGCAAGCCTAGATTTAGGCAAATATTTGCTTATAACACATACGGATGGAGGGGTGCGGAGGAGTACGCACCCCCCAAAACAAAAAACCCAGAAAAACCTGTGCACCCCCCAAACGTTTTCCCGCCCCACCTAGAGAAATTTGAAACCCCAAAAATTTCAATGCTCATTGCGATAAATGACAGTAGTGTAATTGAAATAAAGATTTTGAACTTGCATCGTTATAAGCGCGCGCATCATAAGGTTCATTGGCATGCAACATGTACGCGCTGCGTACCTATTTTTTGTTTTGGTGCTGTTACTGGTTATGTAACAATTGAATTATGTATGAATTGCTCTACTGCCCCGCATATAAGGGTAAACGGTCGATTATCCCCGAGCCAACGGCGCAGAGCGCCGTTCCGGACGTAAGCACGGGGCGAGGGCACTAGTACCCCCCGGCTATTCACACCCGGGGAAGCGAAAGATTAGCGAAGTCTAAAGTTCATCAATGATCGCGGGCGTGGGTGACCAACGGTGGGTGGTCATCCTCACTGATCTCAAAAATATGGCAGACTGTCATGAATAGCGAACACTGATTGGTTAAATTTAAAATTTGCATTATAACGACTTCATGACGACAGCGAAATAGCAAACATTTCTTGATTTGATGATTTCTTGCAATAGTCGGCCAGCCAAGGTGGCAAAAAGTGCCTCTAGAGAGAGTTGATGGCAATTTAGTTTTATAAAGAACACATTAAAACGTTTTTCGAAGCGTTTGTGGTTGAATTTTACTTTAAATTGAAGCTTTTATTACGTATACTAACATACCTAACAAAAATATGTTTGCGAAATTGGTAATTTTGTAATTAAAGTGATATTTTTTAGGCGATTTTTCATTTGTAAAAATATTCTTAAACTAGAAGTTACTATCGCAAGGAAAGTGCTGCCTCACCCCCAAGGGATCCAAGGCAACATGCATAATTCGCGGAATAAGGGGCTGTTTATATGATCCTGCTTTGCCAGGACGAGATGCCAGGCAGGATTATTTTGATGTATTACTTCTAAAAATAAATTACTGTGCACGATTCAGCAAAAAACTACATAGTTAACTATAAACTAAAGGTTGTTCAAACAGTAATAATAATCTTCTTGAACTACAACTTGAATTCTGTTGACTTATTTCAATACATTAAAATCACCTGGCTTCCAATATTTACAGTAAACAGCCCCTAAGACACCTGTTCATGAGGTAGGAAAGGACAACTTGAATATCAAACACCTTGCACAAAGTTGCATAAATATTCTATTTCTACTTTCTTGGCATTGGGCATTTTTATATGAATACCTTCAATGCTTATAATTTCTTGCTTTTGCTTACTTTGCATTGTTTTTATCTCAAAATACAATTGTTGTATGAATATATATATTTTTTTTATTTCGTCGCTATATAACAAAACACTTAATGTCTGTTCTCTCGGGAAATAGTTAGTTTTGTTTTCCCTCGAAACTCAATGTTTCCCTCGACTTCGTCTCGGGAAACATTGAGTCTCTCGGGAAAACAAAACTAACTATTTACCTCGCCAGCAGACATTAAGTGTATAATATACAGTGTCTAAGAAAAAAGCAAATCCTTTCAAATTTGACAGCTCTAATTGCTTTGAATTAATGATTGGGTAAGAACACAAGGTATTGTACTCATGGGACAAAACTCAAAGAAATAAAAATTAGAAAATTTAAAAGAAATACAGTATACCTTGTGTTCTTAACCAACTATTAATTCAATACAATTAGATTGCGGTCAAGTTACTACAATATAGCTAATTTGAATTTGAAAGGGTTCACTATTTTTTAGACACACTGTAGAAATACTAAGTCAGTTTTTGTCCCAATTATTATTTACATGGCACCTTCAAGGCTAGCTCTAGGCCTAATGCAAATCAACCGAACACTGTGATAGGGAGACAAAATCTATTTGTTAACATTTTTGTTTAATTAATATGTCAGCTTCAGATGACACCATTCATTGTACTCAGTCAGAGATTGTACTCAGTCAGAACTGCAAAACTATATAAGAAAGAAATTGTGAGCATTATCGAAGAATATTCTTGGGTTTCATATGACGTCACAGAAGTGACGGGGAGTCAACTGTAAAACAAAACACAGTTATCAGAGTGAGACAATTGTTTGTTTTATGTATTAGCCTTGTGTTTGGTACTTTGGTGGCAATACATGGAATTTCGTATCATTTTCTCACTCCAGTACAGCATAAGCATCGATACATGTGAGGTTGACCCCTCATCAGATTCAGTGCATGTCTAGGGGTGCCCTGGAACTCGGTTCTGGCCGGTTAGTTCCAGCCAGAACCCCGATTTTTTAGAGTTCCCGGTTCCGGCTGGAACTAGTAACCGGAACCGGAACTCTGTCGTTTTCAGAGAGATAGAATATCAAACGTTTTTGTGTCTAACAAAAGGTCACAGTAGGAAGAAATTTGGACTACGCAAGGAAAATGTACACTATTAACACTTCGTTATGACGTTTAACGCTTGTCAATCTTTTTATTCTAACATTTGCGAGCTCTCTCCTTGATGACTTGAAGTGCCTGCCTGTCTGGCAGCGGACAAAGTAACATATGACTATATATATATGGCTTAATAAATTAGTTCCAGTTTCGGCCAAAACTTAAAAAACTGGTTCCGGTTCACCCCTAATAATGCCTTAGTGAAACCCAAGTATATAGCATACCCTGAAATGTATTGCATGACACAGCCAGGTGAATGTATGAGTATAGGTTGGTAGGATTATTTCATATTATGTTAAAGATGCTGTACGGTCTGATCCACATGTGCACAAAGTCAAAGGAGGAGCCCTCTTAGTTATTTTATACAAACAGTTTATTTAGGTTTTATTTCGTTTTATGTTCTTGCAAAGCTTGATTGTTGTGTCTTTTAATATAATCTATTATACTCTAGAATCATGAAAATATATAAATTTCTATATTTTGAATACCGAAATGTAAACAAAGCCTTTGTTTACATACGAACTGTACCGCATCTTTAACAATGGAGATGTCTCAGAGATATAAACAGGCCATCAGGCATGCATGATACCCGGCCTTGTACAAACATGCTATTTGCATGTAACTGCTGGTAGCCTGGTAAGTTAATATATACAGACAACAATCCCCACACTGGGTTGCTACTTGCTAGGAAGCCTGATTACGTGCACGTGCAAAAGTATTATTAAACAGTCCGAGTTTGTTTTTAAAACGTGCTGAAAGCACCATTGCTATAAACATCTAAAATGAACACTATATAAAACTCATCGCCTTGGTACACCGCCACACAAACAAATAAACTCAAAGTACATTTTCAAGCTCCTTCAATTGTATATAAAATAAGACAGCTGTCATTATTGACATCATGAAATCATATGTTTCAATATACCTCTGTATCGAATGCTATAAAACAGGCAAACAGCAGATCTAAATGCCTTCATGTATATCACCAGAAAGAAATAAAACCATTCTTACCTGATTTATTCTTTGATATTCGTTTGCAATCCAACATATAAACTCGTATGATCCCGTATTAAAAGTTTAAAACTGCTTAGTCTGCTTGCACAAATGCACAATACAAAATAAAGTTTGACCGCCCCCCTCGTTTAAAAAAACTTCCCGAAGCTTAATTATTCCTCCCGGAAATCATCTTAACAGACAGAAAGACAGACAGACACAAATCGAGATCTCGACAATACATAGATCGCGCGAAAGACTGGGTCGAGTGGACTCTGGAGAAACCACCGCGTGTGAAGAATAGGGTGCTGCCTTCGGCAGCAAAAATGCAAAAATTGTCAACTTCCTGATTTCTTAGAAATACCATGTGCCGCAAATTTTATTGCGTAGATGTATGGAATAGCATCCTATTTCAAAGTTAAAAAGCGATTTAGAACCTGGGCAGGTGCCACAAATGAGAATTCTGCAATGTTTTAGGACCTATAATTTTCGAATTTGATATCATGCGTTGAAGGGTCTCGATTAATAATTTTTTTTTATTTGCCAGGTGCAACTAAACAGTTATATATTACTGTTTCTTTGTAGAAAGAGCACTCTAGTGCAGCTTAGACCTGAAAACGAGGCTCTGATTCGCAACGAAAATAGAGAAAGCGGACTGTGATTGTAGGCTTCGGCGATTTCAGAAACCGGCATATTTAATTAACTTGGGTCCTGGGACAAAAACTCGCATAGCGGTTGTAAAAACCACGTTAGAACGATCTTAACTCCAGTTTCGTAGTTAGGATAGATGAGAGTATCGACGGTAGAAATATAAGAGTAATCTATTTTTGAAGCCCAGATCCAGTGGTCCGCTCTTACAGAGACGCCCTCTTAATAGCCAGTTAAAGTGTAATAAAAATACATGTTTTCTTCACAGCTGTGAGGTTTGGCAAAGGAGTATACTTTGCTAACCAAGCTTGGTACTCGGCAAGAAAGAATTATTCTGCTCCCGATGAGAAAGGCTTACAGTACATGTACATCGCTCGGGTGTTGGTTGGTAAATACACGAAAGGAAAGGAAGGATTACTCGTGCCACCCCCAATTGATGAAAACAACCAGACCGTCTGCTACGACTCTGTTGTCGACGATGTAACAAAGCCACTGATGTTTGTCATTTTCTATGATTATCAGAGCTATCCTGAATATCTAATTACTTTTAAGAGCTAGCCTTCAATAAATTGTAAATCAAAACTTCAATAAACTGTAAATTGCCTTGAATATTTAATTGTTACACACTAACAAAAGCAGCCTTTTAAGAAAATTTGAAATGACTGTAAACAAAAATTCTTTGATGAGATTTTAGATTGCAGAAGCCAAGATTTTCTGCACAGAGTGCAGGGATGTAATAACAACCAAACACGCACTCCCCAATGTTTTGTGTGCCACTGATTTGCAACTCATGGATTTAAAAGTAATATAACTGCATAAGGTAAAAATTTCACAAGTTTCCTGTAGTTTAACAAGTTTCCAAGTTCTGCAAAGGAGTTGTAACATAACAATTATAATAATTTCTGGTCACTTCTTGACATGTACAGCCACACGGGTATGTTTAGGCACAATGAAATTCTTAACAATTATAAGATTTCTACATAATGAACTTAATGTACATATTTATATTGCTGTCAAATTAACACAACGGAGCACCTCAAATTGAGCTTCGTGTTCTTTTTTGTTGATTTCCCGTCAAAATAATATGAACGAATGGTTCGGGTAGCCTATTCTTTCCTACGCTTACACCTAAATTTATTTTACGCATATCTTGATTTCAGAGATAAAACAAAGCTCATTATAACTTGTTTATAACCTTCATAAAATGTGTAAAAATAGTCCTCAATCAAAATGTACAAATTATAAGTGCATGTAGTTTTATTGTTATATCTACAATTAGTGCATTAATATATCCTTGTCCTGCAAGATCGCCCTCCATCAAATGAAAAATCAGTCTCAAACAGTTTCATTTTATTTATAAACTCAACAATTTTCCACATCCAAATAACTCCAAAGGCCCCTGAAGTATGTGAAGTAAATTATATTGTATTGTATTATGTTCCAACGAAATTTTCTTTTTTACGATACCAGTCAGTTGTTTCGCTATACGGCTATTGTCCATTTGTGTTGTCTCTCCAAAAGTGGTCACAATCATTTTGGTGCTCTTTAGAATTCTTAACTATTAAATTCTGATCTCCAGTTTGATCTCAAAGGAGGGGCAAAACCTATATCCAGAAATCGTGATTAATAACGATTTCATGAATCATTATACAAAGGAAAAACTCGTTGAACCCAAATTAAATTATATTGTCAGCTGGGAGATAAACACACGATAAACTTTTTCTTTATTTAAATTGACTATGTTTACTATCGGATAAGATGTCGATTTTTATGCCGATTTCAATGTTGTTCTCCAATTTCCCAGCTACTGTGCACACAGAAAATTCCCATATATATATAAGAAAGCCGCGAGACCGATTCAAAAACTAGCTGCCATTACTTGGCATTATTTTATATTTTATGTGTTACCAGGCTGATAAACTATTTTTAACAGAGATCGTTTTAATTATATTAATTCAAAGTGCAAATGTTTAGATTAAAGCAACCACAAGAGCACCAAAACGAGGCTAGTCAGGCCATATTTGCTAAATATAGCTTCAAAAACTCATTAATAATTATTCATGAGGAAAACCACAATTAATAAATAAACGTGGCGTGTCTTTATATGTGATAAAACACGCTTCAAATTTCAACTTGTATTTTCTCAGCTAATACAAAGTTATTTTGGAAAATTATTTCGCCAATGCCGTGATCTAACTGAGACGTTTTTGAAGCTGTTTAATAAACTCGTAGTTCGTGTTTTATCACATATAAAACACTCCGCTACGCGTCGTGTTTTATATGTGATAAAACACTCCTATACTCGTTTATTAAACAGTACATAAACTTCAGGATTTATATAGGATACATGGTATTATATCAAAGAGAATACATGGTATTATATCAAAGAGAATACATGGTCTTATATTTAATTTGTAAAACTGGTAGTCTTGAAGTATTGTAAGGCGGCAGTGATTACATTTGCTCCGTTGAAATTAACTATTTTTCGAATCGGTGTATAATGGATGACTCTGCACTTCGCTGTGTTCTAATGTTTTTTCGTATAAAATAATATAGCTAGTCATGCTCTTCGCAAGAAGAACGACTAAGGAATCAACACACGTGTAAAAAACGGGCACAGTTGCTTGGTAACAGGCTAGCGAGGCTGCGACTGTTGCTTAACCTCCTTATGATTTAACAAATTTAACAAACTCGGCGAAACTGTAAGGCATATTTTTTGCAAGAAGTATAAATATATTCATATTTTGGGGTAAATTGTTGAAGTTGCCCAAGAAAGACTAGCATGCCCGCTAGCTGCGCCGTGCTAGCGTAGCAGGCGTTTATTTGCAGAATGTCATGCAGAATGTTTGGAGAATAAACTCGTACCCAGGGCCTTTGCGCGGTTAAAAGGTTCGCTAAACCGCGCAAAGGCCCTGGGTACTCCCTTAACCCTGCGTTCAGTTTACAGATACACTGCGGATTCGGGAAGACTGCATGTTTAATGAGGAATAATTATCGCGTGCGTTGCAAGGGTGCGGTTTATATGTATTATGACAAAAACATTATGTTCTGGCTTACATGATATTCGTTGGATTTTGGTGTTTTTAGTCATGTCTCATTCTGTCCTCCTCAGGAAATTATTTTGTCAATGATACTTCTTCTGGCTTCGCTCGATAATGCTTTTCCTTGTTCGTACGTACGCCCTTTGCGACTTACTTTTCCACAATTTGCAACTGTAAAATTCCCGCTATGAACGGTTGAATTAAGCAACATACAAACCGCGCCCGCGTGACACAATAAACCTGCCTAGAAACGTCATAATGCAACTGTTGCAACATACGCTGATAAGCAGCGATTTCTAACCACTCCCAGTAGGGTGCAGGGTACACGCAATAATTATTCGCATTAAACAGTCTCCCGAATTCGCAGTATGCGATAAACATGTAGCCAAATATGCCAAAATAAACTTACGAAATATGGACGAATACGAATCTCTGATTATCGAAGTGACAGGAATAAACACAAACACTTCAAAAGACACTTTGGAGAACTATTTCTCTTCTTCAAAACGTGGAGGAGACATTGCGAATATAGAATATGTCAAAGGTTGTGGTAATGCATCAATAACATTTGCTAACGCCGAAGGTAGGAAAATAAGACTGTCTTTAATTTATGTTATATGCTGGGTTTCAACTAAGATTGCATGTAGTTCAGAGATAATGCTAACGATGAACTGACGGCATAATCTCATTCACTTCGTTCGACATGCATGGACGAGCTGTGTCTCAGCTCATGCCGACATCGATCTAGCTAGCTACTATTGACATTCCTGTAATCCTGTTAGTCGACTGAACATATAAAATGAAGTGATATCAACTAAATTGCAATTTTTGGAAGCAAATGCTTTAGAAGCAACACAGGTTTAGGAATATTGTGCGGAAGTGATAATTAATACGCAATCATAACATCTAGCTTAACGTTTATGTACTGTTCAATAAACGAGCAGGAGTGTTTTATTAGGTTTAAAGATATGCTGCCTTGTATTCTTTATATGTATTCTTTATATAAAAAATACTAATGAAGACACGACTAGAATAGATACTGCCTTATTAGTATTCTTTATATAAAGAATACTAATTAGGAGTGTTTTATCAGGTTCAAAGCCACTGCACGTGACATATTATGGTTGACATGATTTGCCAATAAGTTTATGAATTATTAATGATGTTTGAAAAGTTACGTAACCTCTTGACGCAATCTAAAAATTATAACAGTGTGTGTTAATTTTAATTAAACCATTTATATTACTTTGGAGACGGAATACAGTGTGATAATATGGAAACAGAGACATAATATCATCTAATAAATATATTTGGAATACGCTCAGTTGATTTGGAATACAACTATTTTGGAACACAATTCTTGGAATGCATTTTTCACATTCTTTATGCTAAACAGTTCTTTAAAGTTACATCGTTACAAAATCAAATGTAACCAGTTTTAATACGACATTAGGGATTCCCCCGTTGTTGCAATCACCTACAATATAATATGCGTGTCAAATTACCTCGCAAGCCAGGCTCTCTAAAGCCGGTTTTCCACTAGGCGGAATTTTGCGCGCGGAGTTCGCGCGGAGCGGAATTTTTTTTGTCTTTTCTAATTAGTTCCACCTGAGGAATCACAAGACAAAGAAAAAATTCCAATAAGTCAAAATCCTATTTGTATCGCAAATTCAATAAGTCAAAATCCTATTTGTATCGCAATCGTAGCTCATTTAAATATAATTTTCAAACTGAAACCGATGGAATTAAATTCAAATACATAACTCGCGAAGCAAAATGATGGGTATAAAAATGCAATATTTTTACGATAACTTTTACGATAAATGACTGCCATTAATGCTTCACTAATTCTGATTTTGATTCTTTTTGAACAAGACATCTATTTGTTTTGTATTTATTTCACTTAAAAATTGGATAAAATTTTTTCTATTTTCAGTATTTTGGTGCCATATATTAAAACAAATAATGAATGTTTCGATGAAAGATGGAATTTTCCATTCCACTGCCTTGATAAACAAGGTGCTAGCGGAGTATTTTAATATGCATTGAGATGTTTATCTTCATGAATCTTGACTTAAAAGATAAAATATAAAACGCAATGTCTTCAATGATAGAATGACTTAGAGATAAACAAAGTGTCTCAGGAAATACTGAGAAAATTGGTAAAATGGTGACCGACACTGTACTGTTGTTATTCTCTATGTAGTCTAGGACCTGTATATGAGTTTGTATGCGATTCATTTAGGACAGGTAATCTCAACTGTTTTAGGGTAAAATGACCATGGCGATCAACATGGCATATGTGCGAAAACCTGAATCCGGGACGAAAGTCCCGAAAATGACCCCGCCCTGAAACGGCAGTGTCGACATAGCTCTAACTTCCAAAAAGTAAAAGCGATAGCCTTTCTGAAGTGCTTATAGTGTTTAGAAGGGTTGCTTTTAGGGGTGGTCATTGAAGGAAAAATTTGTCTAAGTATAATATTTTACCAGAAAATGACTATGCACCACCCCAGGTAAATTGCTGATTATGCACAACATAACTAATATGCCTGGCAGAAATTTAATATTCTTATTTCCTAAAAAAAATTATTATGGGGTGAAAAACTATGCTTAATTTAATATAAATATTGTTGATTTCATAAGGATTGTCATTGTTTTCTTTAAATATAATACATTTTATTTCACTTACCCCCACGAAAACACGATTTCAGCCATATTTTGCCGTCTTGTTTGCTTTTTATCGCCGAATCTCGCAAATATCATCCAGTTATTGTACTTTTACATAATTATTATTAATTTTTTTTATTATTAAAAATCTTATTTTACAACGGTTATCCTTCAACACACCTAGGTTATTGATTTCCAAGGAGCCGTTCACACTATACTAATCTATATTTACAAATGGAAGCAATACATAATAATTACATAATGTTAAAGTTATAAAGATATCACACGTTAACTAAACACCTATTACTAGTTATAAAAGATATAAAACCATGCAAAACTGACTGGCCTTAGTTACATTTACATTTAATGTTTAATACGATCAAGCGCAGCCTTAAATTGCCTAATTGTGGCATCACTTGTTTTTACACATCTCGGTAAATTATTCCATGTTTTAGCACCATTATAGCTAATGCTTTTTTTTCATAAAATTTGTTTTAGGCTTTTGTAGAGTAAACACATTTCCCTTGCTACGTAAATTATAATTAATGTTATTCTTAATTTCAAACAGGTCCATCAAATTCTCTGGTAATTCATTTCTCTTCGCTTTGTACATGAATACTAAACTATTTTTTTCCCAATGATCAATTAGGGGTTTCCAATCCAGTTCCCTCAAAACTTCATTTGAAGGTGTCTCGTATGATCTGCCAGTTATGACCCTTGCTGCCCTGTTTTGCATTTTCTGCAACTTACTGATCAGCTGATCACTACAGTTGCTCCATACAAGGCTGCAATAGTCAAAATATGGTAATACTAGCGCATTGTACACCTTAATCAAAGTTGTGTTTGGGACACAGTTCTTTATTCGTCGTAGCATACCTATACCTTTTGATACTTTGCCTGAAATAGCTTCAATTTGATTTTTCCAAAGTAGTTGCTCATCAATAATTATGCCCAATGATTTTGCGTGATTAACCCTCTTAATTTTTGTATTCCCAAATTCTAAGATCGGGTCAGTTTCAACAGCCGATAATCTCTGGTGTGAACCAATTAGCATATATTCCGTTTTATCTTTATTTAATGTCAATTTATTGGCCAACAACCAGTTGTGCATAAGCTCTAGGTCGGAATTTAATCGCCGTTGTAGTTCTTCTTTATTTAAGCTTGCAGTGGTTAGATTTGTGTCGTCGGCAAACATATTCGCTTTAGTATATTTTAAACAATTTGGCAAGTCGTTAATATAAAGAAGGAATAGCAGAGGACCCAAGTTAGATCCCTGGGGTACTCCACTACGAATTTTTTGCGGCTCTGAAATAGTTTGTCCAATCTTACACCTTTGGATTCTATTTGACAAGTATGATTTAAACCAATTTAGTTCAACCCCTTTTATGCCATAAAGTTCTAATTTTCTGAGTAGGATACTGTGGTCTACGCAATCAAATGCTTTCTTTAGGTCAAGAAAAACCACTCCATTTAGGTACCCTTTGTTCATATTTAAATACCATTCATTCGTAACAGATAGTAATGAAGTTTCTGTTGAATGCTTCTTTCTGAAACCTGATTGTTGGTTTACTAATATTTTATTACTTTCCAAATAGTTTGAAAGCTGATGAGATATAAGTTTTTCAAAAATCTTAGCAACCGCAGACAATACAGACACAGGTCTATAATTTGTGGGTTTACTTTTGCAATCCGATTTATAAATAGGGGAAACAATTGCTATTTTCATATCATCTGGAAAACTACCCGATAATATTGACTTCTTGAATATTGTTGATAACGACTTAGCAATTACGTCAGCACAATCTTTCAGTAGTTTAGCCGAGATTCTGTCATGTCCTGTAGCTTTATTTGTTTTAATAGTATATAATAGTTTAGAAACATCTGTTTCAGTTACCAACTGAAAACGGAAAATGGTGTTTAAAGGCCTGATTCCACGACGGCGAAATTCTTTGCGCGAAATCGTGTGAGCGAAATATGGATGGCTGCACATGAGTGATTCTATTGAATTTGCACTCTCTTTCCGCTTTCGCAGTCAGTAGAACTGACTTCTACTCACTGGCGAAGCAAAAATTTTTCTCGCGAAGCCCAATTTATCTTTACTGCGCATGCACGATTTCATTTCGTGCGAAATGTTTCGCATTTCGCCGAGAAAAAGCGCTCGTGGAATCAGGCCTTAAGGGTTTTACATACGATTCTGGTATCTGGTTATGTTCCGGAAGATCTTTTGCTAATTTGGGTCCTATGTCTGTAAAAAAATTATTGAAAATATTTGCAATTTCTCCTGGTTCAGTTACTATATTCCCGTCATCTGAAATTTCATTTATATTGGTGGATTTTACATTCCTATTTGTTAATTCATTAACTTTTTTCCACATTTTCTTTGGATTTGCCTCGCAATTACTAAATGTCTGCATGTAATAATTTGCTTTCGCATTTCTAACTATTTTAACCACTTCATTTCTAGCTTTTTTGTAGGCTTCATGCGCACACTTAGACCCAGATTTTACCGCCTGTTTTTTTAGAAAATCTCTATTATGTATTCTATCTTTTATTCTAGGCGTAATCCAGGGTATATGTTCATTTTTGACTTTACGGGTAATCTGGGGTGCGTGCATGTCTGCAACCGCTAAGAACCTTTCCTTCCAATCATTCCAAACAACATTTGGATCTTCACTATTTGATAGCGTTTCTAGTACCCTACTTAAATCATATTTAAATGCATCCACTTTATAATTCTTATATTTCCTTGTATTTATTATTTTTGGTTGTTTACGGGAAATAGATATTTTTCTTTGTATATAAATAAGACTATGGTCGCTGATTCCTACATGTTCTATTTCTGCTCCAACAATATTTTCAGGTTTATTAGTGAAGGCTAAATCAAGCCAAGTAGCGGTATTATCTGTAATTCTAGTGTGTCCTTTTATTAATTGCTCAAATTGGTATCTGGTCGCAAGATCCTTTAGTTTACCGGTTTGCGCACTTCTGTTACTGTGGTTTGGGTCCCAATTACAGTTGTAATCTCCAATAAGGATGATTTCTTTATTTTCCGCGTCCATTTTCTTTAAACAATCTTCAAAATTTTCAAATTTTTCAGATCTGGTATCTGGTGGTCTATACCAGGCATTGATTAAGAATGGTTTAGATTTTGGCTTAGAGATTTCAACTGTGATTGCCTCCAGATGTTCGTCCTCTAGGTCATGCCTTTCCTGATAATTTATTACACTTCTTATATAGATAGCTACCCCACCACCATTTCTGTTTCTATCATTTCTGACTATATCGTAACCTCTTATATTCACATCCTGATTTGCTACAGTACTGTCTAACCTAGTTTCGTTTATACAAATTATATCATATTGTTGTTTTTCTAGGTGTATTCTTAATTGATCTATATTCTTAATTAAGCTTCTAATATTTAAATGCGCGATTTTAGAACCTCTTGTAGCAACTTTTCCTTTAGTAATACTGTTTGTATTATAATTTGATTTTTCATCATGCTTTTCTACTTCGTTATTGACATTTTTATCAACATTAAAACTACGCTCGATCGCAATGGAATGTCAGTTGTTTTCAACATTGTTTATGTAAGATAAAAAGTTTCTGGCCATTATCGACGTGCCTAATCTACTTAAATGAACCCCATAGGGATTCAAATGTTTAGTTTCAATGTTAGCATGGTCGATTACTTGGATATTTTTACTCTCACAGTAATCTATTAATGCCATGTTTACCTTTTCTATCTTTGTCTTGTATTCTGGTCTATCCGCTCTTGTAACCAGCAGTGACACAGCTACTTCAGAGGTCGGACTATCTTTCTGAATTATTTCGCATATGTCATTAATTCCTTTGACTAATTCTTTTGCTCTTTTGCTACCGATATCGTTTGTTCCCACATGTAATATTATTTTTTCCGGCTTTCTTTGCAAGCACGGTTTAATATGGTGCTTCATATCGTCAACGCCAGCTCCCCGATAAGTTTCTGCCCTTATTGCGGTTCTTCTAGAGATCTGACCATTTTTCTTAATTCCTCGAAGCAGTCGTTTACTATCTATATATTTTATCATTGAATCTCCGATTATAACTGTGCTTGCTTGGGTATTGCTCTTAAGTTTTCTTGTAGGAGCTGTTTCTCTTGTAATTTCGACTTCGTCACCCTCACTTTCTTCGATAGTCAACGGGGCATATTGGTTTGAGTTTAACACTGGATTTGTGGTATGGCTTTTCGTAATTACCGATGCTGCTTGTCTCTTCGTAGCTCTGGATGGTGCTTTCGTGTCTTTTTTATTTTTATTCATCTGAACTTTGGACCATGCGTTTCGATCGTCGCCAGTGTCCGGGCAAGTATCATACGATCCGAGTGGAGCAAACGTATGGCAGTTAGAAGACTGGCTTTTTCGTCTTCCACAGCCTTAATTTTGCTTTTCAAATCGTCTGCCGCATTTTCGTACTTATTTAGGCGTTCATTCAAGTGAACGTTTGTCGACTTTAATCGTTCATTTTCTTCTTGCAATCTGCGGATATCTAGATCTTTCTGCTCGTCTGGGTTGTTTCCTGATTCATTGGTTGCGACATCTACATCTTGCGTATAGGCTTCAAACTTTTATTCAAAACAACTGAATTTTGTACTCAGACTTTGGACAATAGTGATCAGTGAATCGAGACGATCACTCTCATTATTATTCCGCATCGAAGGAATATTTTCTGTTGCTTTGTCAAAATAGTCCTTTGACGAAGCTTTTGAGTTGTTTGATTCATATAACGGTTTCGTTTTAACCATAGCCGCTAATTTATCTTTAATCAGATTTCCTTCTTTTCCATTGAATGTTAATGTTGATTGTTTACCGTACCAAGTCATCTCGAATCTGCCGTTTATACTTGTAAAGCGCTTTGCTTCTCCCCCAGGCGATGTCCATTTACCTTGTTCATGAAGCGATTTTTGAACAAAGTCCTTTAATGTTTGTAGTGTGCCTTTGCATAACAACCGTTCGCCATTTAACTGGAGCGGTTCGATAAATTGTGAATGTGAGCATGAGTCTGATTTTGATTTGCTTTGATCGTGATTCGTATCGTTGTTGTCGGTGTAAAAAGATTCGTAATCATCCGTTTGGGTAAATTCGCTAAAGCTTATACTATTATCGTTGGTAAATTCGGATAAACTTTTAGCCAATATTTGGCTTGGACTAGCAGAGCAATCTTGAACACGTCCACACTCCATAGTCCGCGAAATAGCTGGTTCCCTCCGAAGTTTCCCTCAGGATAGCTGGAGTTCATACATGCAGTTTTATCAGGTAAAGCGAATGATTAGCGGTCTTAGGGTCCAAATGACCTTAACCTATTCTCAAACTTTAAATTGGTAAGAATTGTGACTTGCTTAATAATTATTTGAAGCCAGACACTCGAATGCGAGCTCTTAGTGGGCCATTTTTGGTAAGCAGAATGCGGGATGAACTGAACGCCGAGTTAAGGTGCCAAAGTCTACGCTCATCAGATCCCACAAAAGGTGTTAGTTGATATTGACAGCAGGACGGTGGCCATGGAAGTCGCAATCCGCTAAGGAGTGTGTAAACAACTCACCTGCCGAATCAACTAGCTCTGAAAATGGATGGCCCTCAGGCGTCGCACCTATACTCGGCCGTCGGAACAAGTGCGACGTTCCAACGAGTAGGAGGGCGCGGCGGTCGTGACGCAGCCTTTGGCGCGAGCCAGGGTGAAACGGCCGCCGGTGCAGATCTTGGTGGTAGTAGCAAATATTCAAATGAGAACTTTGAAGACTGAAGTGGAGAAAGGTTCCATGTGAACAGCAGTTGGACATGGGTTAGTCGATCCTAAGAGATAGGGAAATTCCGTTACAATGCGTCCCATTCGTGGACCGCCTATCGAAAGGGAATCGGGTTAATTCTCTCGAACCAAAACAGGGATACTGCAACCTAATGGCACCAGCGGCAACGCAACAGAACTCGGAGACGTCGGCGAGAGGCCCGGGGAAAGTTCTCTTTTCTTTTTAACGGGCAAAGTTACCCTGAAATCGGTTTAGCCGGAGAGAGGGTTTCACGTCCTGTAAAACCCCACACTTCTTGTGTGGTCCGGTGCGCTTTCGACGGCCCTTGAAAAGCCGAGCGAGTAGTTCATTTTCTTGTCTGGTCGTACTCATAACCGCAGCAGGTCTCCAAGGTGAGCAGCCTCTAGTTGGTAGAACAATGTAGGTAAGGGAAGTCGGCAAAATAGATCCGTAACTTTGGGAAAAGGATTGGATCTAAGGGTTGGGTCTGTCGGGCTGGGACTTGAAGCGTGAGGATTCGGCGTGGACTGAGAGAGATGCGTGACTCGCTGCGCGTTGAAGTCGGACTGCGAAGGGACTTCCGTGGATTGGCTCAGCTGTGACCGTCAGGTCGATTCGGCAGGCGATTAACAACCAACTTGGAATTGGAACGAACAAGGGGAATCCGACTGTTTAATTAAAACAAAGCATTGCGATAGCTGGTGACTGGTGTTGACGCAATGTATTTTCTGCCCAAGTGCTCTGAATGTCAAAGTGAAGTAATTCATCCAAGCGCGGGTAAACGGCGGGAGTGACTATTATTAATTCGGGTGTCAGGCCGAAAAAGCGAACCAATATATGTGAAGCGAGGTGTGAAGCAGGGTGATCCAATGTCTGTGCACTTATTCAATGCTGTAATAGACTGGGCATTATCTACCTTGGATCTTGGTCTTCGTATTAAGATAGGTGAAGCTACAATCCTGGACAAAACCATCTGCGACACTGTATTAAAACATTCCTTTGTGGCTTTTTTTTTACCTTTTAGACCGGAATAATTTACTCGTTTGCCCCCCTCCGCCCCCAAAACAATGTTGGACGTTATATCCGTATTCTACGAATGCAATCAACATTGAAAGGGGGAGGTTGGGGGAAAGGGGGAGGTTTTCTAAATTTACGATAATATTACGACATTCTGACAAGTAATTCGAAGTGTTGCAGATGTTTTGTCCAGGATTGTCTGAAATGAGTCGAAATTATATCCTTTTATATTTCGCTCTTTAAACATGCCCTTGCCATTTATTTCGTTTATGCGCATTGCTTACGACCTACTTATCATCTATATGTTATGCATTCAGTCTATACATAAACGAATGCGTGTGATATCCAGTAGAACACCAAGGGACAATAATTCAATATAGTTGCGTTTCTTGTATTTACTGCACATACTTAGAATATTAAGTGACAACTATACACTCTAAAAAAAGGTGTGTTAATTTAACACACCTTTTTGTCCAAATTTTAACACACCTTAAGGTGGGTTTTAGAACACACCTTAAGGTATGTTTAACACAGCTTTTGGCGTGTTTTGTAACACAGCTTAAGGTGTGTTTAACACACCTTAAGGTGTGTTTTAAAACCCACCTTAAGGTGTGTTTTCGGCTTGTCCAGATTTTAACACACCTTAAGGTGTGTTTTGTATAAAGGTGTGTTTTTGAGCACACCATGGCGTGTTTTCGTACACACCATGGCGTGTTTTCGTACACACCATGGCATGTTTTCATAATACACACCATGGCGTGTTTTAAAACACACCTAGAGCTGTGCTGTATAACACACCATTCAGGTCTGTAATGTTTACAGCACGTTGTAATGCGTGTTTCATAACACACTAAGGTGTGTTACATAACACACCTACAAAAGATGCTATATATAACAGCAAACCTAAGGTGTACTAGAAAACACATCTACATATTCTTATTAAAAGTAAAATGACATTAGAGACATGTTCATTTGCACAGAGTTTATCCATGACAAAATATTTATTGGATACTGACTAAATTACTTTTCACATAGTTGACTATGTACTTTTACTAGGTACTTTTACTAAACCGAACTGTAACAGACAACTTCTCATTCTGATGCAGTGTTCTGGCAAATTAGAGTAATGGAGTACTATATTAATTGTCTCGTACTTTATAGCCATGCAATTGTCAAAATATTGCAACCCCACATCTTCCACAATCAGAATACCTGTCATATGAAACACTGTAAATAACTCGCATCCAATCATTCCATCTTTGTATCATTTTCTTTATCGCTCGGTGAACCACAACCTTTGAATCACATAGCCAATTTAACCATATTTACAGGTAGTCGTATCGATCCAGCATACAAGCCTGTGTCAAGATAAGTAAAAAATTAATATACAATGGGACAATATAACAGCATAAGTTTTTATATATAGCATATGTAATTAAGTCATTTAACCCACTAGCATGCAGGACTCTCTTCTTGATGACTAAAATTGTCTGGCGTTTGACAGAGTAAAATAACAAAGGCGGGTCCATTTGGGTGCATTTCGACTTAATGGGTTATCAAGGCACATTGGCAGATAGTTTGGATGACCATTAGTGAGCAGAACACTGCTCTTGAGGAGTAAAATTGTCTGGCATTTCACAAAGTAAAATGTCTGTTGTTAGATAGTGCAACATAACAAAGTAGGGTGCACTTGGGCACATTGCTGCTCAAAGAGTTAACAATAAAAGGCTGCATATATTAGCTAAGTATATTAAATATCAATATACAGTCATTTAACAAGTTAATTTGTTTGGCATTTCAAGACATAGGATGCACACTCTTAAAAATAGGTGTGCTATAGTAACACACCTTTTCTGTCGCCAAAACAGCACACCTTAAGGTGTGCTACGGTAACACACCAAGGTGTGCGACAGTAACACAACAAAAGGTGTGTTAGCGGCTTGTCGCCAAAACAACACACCTTTAGGTGTGTTACTAAGAAAGGTGTGCTAGGCAGCACGCAAAGGTGTGTAATTGTTGCTCAATGGTGTGTTATAGTAGCACACCTCAAGGTGTGTTGGTTAGCATAACTTAAGGTGTGTTAATATAACATACCTTACAAGGTGTGCTACTACAACACACCTTAAAAGACGTGCCAGTTTAACACACCTTTGAATGTGCTATATAACACACCTTTGAAAGTACCAAAATGCACCAGATATAAAAACATGAAAACTGAAAAGGATGCACTTCACTGGTAAAAAAGTAATGCAAATAAATCTTTCTATCACATTAAATCTTTCTATCAATAAGTTATAAAAGTTCACCAGTAAGTTAAAATAAAAGCCATGCAAGATACTGTCCCTTAAATTACGGAATAAAGTTTAAAGGGATATGGCAATATAAAAGTTTATTGTCCCATTTGAAAGAACTTTTAAAATTATATGTTAAGAGGGAATCTCCACTATCACCGAGCAACAGGTGGCACATGATGAAAAATGAAATTTTTCTTATTTTGTCCAGTGATACGCTAATGTATACTTAGAAACGTGATGGGGTTTGTTTTCTGAAATATTATTTTAAACGCCGAAAAATTATCAAAACCTGACGTGTACCCAAAATTCGTGAAATTAGCTAAAAACATAGTGGGTCATAGCCTCTCGAAAACTTCGTTTTGCTCAGTTCGCGTCTTCAGGAAACATCACTTTCGATTTTTAAACGTGTATATAAGATGTTTATAAACAACGATAGTCTATTTTGCAATCTTTTAAATGATGTTTCAAAGTCAAGGCAAGCGTGTAAAAATCGCCTTATTTTGCGATCCAAAAAATTCTAAATTGGTACACTTTTTGAAAATTAATTTTCCGTATCCGGAAAAACTCCAATTTCCTTGAAATTTAGGGAATTTAAAGAGAAACTGTTGCTCTAAAAGCTGATAGAAAAAATATTTTGGGGCTTTTTGTTCCCGCGGAATTATACTGACTATAATATCGGGAAAATCACAAGAAAAACCTTAAGTTAAAAAATTTTAAGTTTGGTACATTTTTGAAAATCAATTTTCCCTTTCCGGTAAAACTCCGGTTTCCTTCAAATTTAGACAAATGTATGAGCAAATGTTGCTCTCAAATCTGGTGTAAAATATATTATGGGGTGTTTTGTTATCACGAAATTATAATGTCTAAATTATACAGCGGATTATGTAGACAGACACTTATAGACAGGCAGTACGTCTAGACACAGTCTGCTCAGATAGACTGTCGAAACGTGAGGATTTTTACTTGTATTCTCTTGTTATTTGGTTTTGACAAATAAATCATAAATTATTTTAAATTATTTTGCTTGTTTATTGGGATTTTAGAGAAATAAATAGTCAATATGAACATCATGTTGCAAAATCTCCGTGCCCGTGACTTGACACATGTAATTAATAGACAAAAGATCAGTTATTGATGGCCTGCTTAAACCCACTACTCAAAGTCTCAATAGCTCGTAAAATCTATTCGTAATATCTAATTTTTTCAAACTGAAATATATGTGCTTAGTTTTCTCTGAAGTAGTCGCATAAATCATTGAGATTAGGGCTAGATTTTATTAAACTCGCGATGTGACTACAATGTCAATGTAATTAGTGACGTGTTTGACAGTTTGTATAAATAAACTTCCGAATAGACAGAAATTATAAAGTAATATTAAACCTGATGTATAGAACATACGCTGAATATACTTTGTTATATGCACAATAACTGCATGTAAACGACTTGCTCTTTTAAGAAACTAATTTGCTAATAATCATTCTTTTTTCAAAATCATGCGGACCTTTATTTATCATTTAAATAATATACCCTTAAAATACTGACAATTGATTAATTTTAAGCATTTAATGACAAACTGCAAAACAATGAAGATATTACCCATACTTTCCTGCAACTTTGACATATCAGACTTGTAAACACGATGTCATACCCTATAGGGAGTATCGCTAAGTTGAAGTTCTGAGCAATTTCAGAACTCTGTACGTCGCCGCCGCAAATTTTTTTTCCGTAGACAGTCGGACTCCTCATTGATAGTCGGACGCATCATTGATCCGCGTCCAGGCCTCCGCGCGTTATCAATCGATCCCTTTGTACCCTGCATAACCCACTGGTATACCATATGTCCATCATTCCGCGTTGTTCCAGTCTTCGACCACGTGTTGAAAGATTTTCTTCGCGATGCTATAGCAAATCTACAAAAATACTCAAGAACTGTTATTGCGAATTAAAACTATATACCATCCTAATTGAACAGAATCAGTATAAGATAACTAGCGTGCAAGGAAATATTGGAAGATTCAAAGCGACCATCAAAACCACTTTCCACAAATAGAAGTATTGCAGAATACCCGTCCACTAGTATAGTATCATATCATGTAGCCCAGCCACATTTCACTGGATATGTATATACCAGATCTTATTGCCTGATTCTAATATACACAAACTAATTACTAAGACAATATTACGAATTGATACAATAAAAGAAATATCATGCAAGACTTTTAATGTTTAATATTATTATGCTTAATATGCTTTATAATATAAATTTTTTTCTCCCAGCGACGCTAATTAATCATAATCTGTCAAATACCAATGTCCGGTTGTGAGGAACATATTTACATATTACACCACATTTAACTATTTAAGCTCTCTATAGCATGAGAATTTAATCTATTAATTCTAACTGTCGCCTTGATCTCAAAATAACTACTTGACTGCGTATCCACGTATCCGCTAAAATATAGAGCTACCTATAATATGAGAATTTGATCTAATGCTAATCTACCTGTATGCCTCGTTCTCAAAATAACCGACTTGACTGCGTATCATGCGTATCCACTAGAATATATAGAGCTACCTTTAACACTATGACAATTTAATCTATTC